AAAAGAGAAAATGGGGTACAAAGAGAGAAAGAGAGAGAAAATGAGTGCAGAAAGAGAAGAAAAGAGAAAATGGGGTAAAAGAGAAGGAGAGAGAAAAAAATTATAAAAGAGAAAAGAAAAGAAAAATGGGGGTACAAAGAGAGAAAGAGAGAAAAATGAGTGCAGAAAGACAAGAAAAGAGAAAAATGGGGTACAAAGAGAGAAGGAGAGAAAAAATGAGTACAGGGAAATGAAAAGAAAAATAGAAAAGAGAAAGAGAGAAAAAAGAGAGAAAGAGAGAAAAAAAACAGGGGAAAGAGAGAAGAAAGAGAAAATGTGGTTAGGGAACAAAGAGAGAAGGGTAGAGAGAAAAAGAGAAAATGTGTGCAGGAAGACAAGAAAAAGAGAAAACGGGGTACAAAGAGAGAAAGAGAGAGAAAAATGAGTACAGGGAGAAAAGAAAAGAGAAAACGGGGTACAAAGAGAGAAAGAGAGAGAAAATGAGTGCAGAATGACAAGAAAAGAGAAAACGGGGTACAAAGAGAGAAGGAGAGAGAAAAATGAGAACAAAGAAAAGAAAAGAGAAAACGGGGTACAAAGAGAGAAGAGAGAGAAAATGAGTGCCGAAAGAGAAGAAAGCAGAGAAAACAGGGTACAAAGAGAGAAGGAGAGAAAAATGAGAACAGAAAGAGAAGAAAAGAGAAAACGGGGTACAAAGAGAGAAAGAGAGAGAAAAATGAGTGCAGAAAGAGAAGAAAAGAGAAAACGGGGTACAAAGAGAGAAGGAGAGAGAAAAAATGAGTACAGGGAGAAAAGAAAAGAAAACGGGGTACAAAGAAAGAGAGAGAAAAATGAGAGAAAGACAAAAAAGAAAACGTGGTTCAAAAAGAGAAGGAAAAGAAAAATGGGGGGACAAAAGAAAAATAGAAAAGGAGAGAAAAGAAAAGAGAGAAAAATGGAGAAAAGACAAGAAAAGAGAAATGGGGTACAAAGAGAGAAGGAGAGAGAAAAAATGAGTACAGGGAGAAAAGAAAAGAGAAAACGGGGTACAAAGAGAGAGAAAAAATGAGTGCAGAAAGACAAGAAAAGAGAAAACGGGGTACAAAGAGAGAAGGAGAGAGAAAAAATGAGTACAGGGAGAAAAGAAAAGAGAAAACGGGGTACAAAGAGAGAAAGAGAGAGAAAAATGAGTGCAGAAAGAGAAGAAAAGAGAAAACGGGGTACAAAGAGAGAAGGAGAGAGAAAAATGAGTGCAGAAAGAGAAGAAAAGAGAAAACGGGGTACAAAGAGAGAAGGAGAGAGAAAAATGAGTGCAGAAAGACAAGAAAAGAGAAAACGGGGTACAAAGAGAGAAAGAGAGAAAAATGAGTACAGGGAGAAAAGAAAATAAAAACAGTGTACAAAGAGAAAGGAGAGAGAAAATGTGAAAGAAAGAGAAGAGAAAGAAAAATGAAGGCAGAGAAAAGAGAGAGAAAAATGAGACTAAAAAGAGAAAATGGGTACAAAGAGAGAAAGAGAGAGAAAAATGAGAGCAGGGAGAAAAAAGAAAAGAGAAAACGGGTTATAAAGGAGAAAGAGAGAAAAAATGAGTGCAGAAAGACAAGAAAAGAGAAAAACAGGTACAAAGAGAGAAGGAGAGAGAAAAATGAGTGCAGAAAGAAAGAAAATGAGAAAAATTGAAGGTACAAAGAGAGAAGAGAGAGAAAAATGAGTACAGGGAGAAAAGAAAAGAGAAAACGGGGTACAAAGAGAGAAAGAGAGAGAAAAATGAGTGCAGAAAGACAAGAAAAGAGAAAACGGGGTACAAAGAGAGAAGGAGAGAGAAAAAATGAGTACAGGGAGAAAAGAAAAGAGAAAACGGGTTACAAAGAGAGAAAGAGAGAGAAAAATGAGTGCAGAAAGACAAGAAAAGAAAAAAAAAAAAAGAGAGAAGGAGAGAGAAAAATGAGTAGGGAGACAAGAAAAGAGAAAAATGGGGTACAAAGAGAGAAAGAGAGAAAATGAGTACAGGGAGAAAAGAAAAGAGAAAACGGGTTACAAAGAAAGAAAGAGAGAGAAAAATGAGTGCAGAAAGACAAGAAAAGAGAAAACGGGGTACAAAGAGAGAAGGAGAGAGAAAAAATGAGTACAGGGAGAAAAGAAAATAGAAAACGGGGTACAAAGAGAGAAAGAGAGAAAAAATGTGCAGAAAGAGGAGAAAATAGAAAACAAAGGGAAGAAAGAAAGAAGAGAAAAAATGAGTGCAGGGAGAATAGAAAAGAGAAAACAGGGTCCAAAGAGAGAAGGAGAGAAAAATGAGTGCAGAAAGACAAGAAAAGGGAAAATGGGGTACAAAGAGAGAAGGAGAAAAAAAATGGTGCAGAAAGACAAGAAAAGAGAAAATGGGTACAAAGAGAGAAGGAGAGAGAAAAAATGAACAGGGGAGAAAAGAAAAATAGAAAATGGGGTACAAAGAGAGAAAGAGAGAAAAAAAGTGCAGAAAGACAAGAAAAAAGAGAAAACGGAAACAAAGAGAGAAGGAGAGAAAATGAGTACAGGGAAAAAAAAGAGAAAAATGGAAAAGAGAGAAAGAGAGAGAAAATGAGTGTTTGAAAAAGAGAAGAAAAAAGAAAATGGGGTACAAAGAGAGAAGGAGAAAGAAAAAGAGTGCAGAAAGACAAGAAAAGAGAAAAATGGGGTACAAAGAGAAGAGAGAGAGAGAAAAAAAGTACAGGGAGAAAAGAAAAGAAAAAAAGGGTTACAAAGAGAGAAAGAGAGAAAAAATGAGTGCAGAGAAAAAGAGAAAACGGGGTACAAAGAGAGAAGGAGAGAAAAAAAGAACAGAAATACAAGAAAAGAGAAAATGGGGTTGAGAGAAGGAGAGAAAAATGAGTGCAGAAAGACAAGAAAAGAAAAATGGGGTACAAAGAGAGAAGGAGAAGAAAAATGAGTGCAGGGGAGAAAAGAAAAGAGAAAACGGGGTAAAAAGAGAGAAGGAGAAAAATGAAAAATGAGAAAAGGAGAAAAAGGGGATAAAAAGAGAGAAAATGAGTGCAAAAGACAAGAAAAAGAGAAAACAGAGAAAGAGAGAAGGAGAGAGAAAAAAAAAATGAGTAAGGGAGAAAAGAAAAGAGAAAAAACAAAGAGAGAAAGAGAGAGAAAAATGAGTGCAGAAAGAGAAGAAAAGAGAAAACGGGGTACAAAGAGAGAAGGAGAGAGAAAAATGAGTGCAGAAAGAGAAGAAAAGAGAAAACGGGGTACAAAGAGAGAAGGAGAGAGAAAAATGAATGCAGAAAGACAAGAATAGAGAAAACGTGGTACAAAGAGAGAAGGAGAGAGAAAAAATGAGTACAGGGAGAAAAGAAAATAGAAAACGGTGTACAAAGAGAGAAGGAGAGAGAAAAATGTGAACAGAAAGAGAAGAAAAGAGAAAACGGGGTACAAAGAGAGAAAGAGAGAGAAAAATGAGTGCAGAAAGACTAGAAAAGAGAAAACGGGGTACAAAGAGAGAAGTAGAGAGAAAAAAATGAGTACAGGGAGAAAAGAAAAGAGAAAACGGGTTATAAAGAGAGATAGAGAGAGAAAAATGAGTGCAGAAAGACAAGAAAAGAGAAAACGGGGTACAAAGAGAGAAGGATAGAGAAAAATGAGTGCAGAAAGACAAGAAAAGAGAAAACGGGGTACAAAGAGAGAAGGAGAGAGAAAAAATGAGTACAGGGAGAAAAGAAAAGAGAAAACGGGTTTCAAAGAGAGAAAGAGAGAGTAAAATGAGTGCAGAAAGAGAAGAAAAGAGAAAACGGGGTACAAAGAGAGAAGGAGAGAAAAATTAGTACAAAGAGAAAAGAAAAGAGAAAATGGGGTTACAAAGAGAGAAAGAGAGAAAAATGATGCAGAAAGACAAGAAAAGAGAAAATGGGGTAACAAAAGAGAGAAGGAGAGAGAAAATGAGTGCAGAAAGACAAGAAAAGAGAAAAGGGGTACAAAGAGAGAAGGAGAGAGAAAAAAAAAGTACAGGGAGAAAAGAAAAAAAAACGGGGTACAAAGAGAGAAAGAGAGAGAAAATGAGAGTGCAGAAATACAAGAAAAGAGAAAAAAGACAAAGAGAGAAGGAGAGAAAAAAAAATGTAGGGAGAAAAGAAAAGAGAAAACGGGAGAGAGAAAGGAGAGAGAAAATGTGTGCAGAAAGAGGAGAAAATAGAAAACAGGGTACAAAGAGAGAAGGAGAGAGAAAAATGAGTGAAAAGAGAAAAGAAAAGAGAAAATGGGGTACAAAGAGAGAAGGAGAGAGAAAATGAGTGCAAAAGACAAGAAAAGAGAAAATGGGGTAAAAGAGAGAAGGAGATAGAAAATGTGTGCAGAAAGACAAGAAAAGAGAAAACAGGGTACAAAAGAGAGAAGGAGAGAGAAAAATGAGTACAGGGAGGAAAGAAAAGAGAAAATGGGGTACAAAGAGAGAAAAGAGAGAGAAAAATGAGTGCAGAAAGACAAGAAAAGAGAAAACAAAACAAAGAGAGAAGGAGAGAAAAATGAGTACAGGGAGAAAAGAAAGAGAAAATGGGAGACAAAGAGAAAAGAGAGAGAAAAATGAGTGCAGAAAGAGAAGAAAAGAGAAAAAAATAAATCTAAGAGAGAAGGAGAAAGAAAAATGAGTGCAGAAAGACAAGAAAAGAGAAAAAATTACTACAAAGAGAGAAGGAGAGAGAAAAAATGAGTACAGGGAGAAAAGAAAAGAGAAAAACAGGGTACAAAGAGAGAAAGAGAGAGAAAATGAGTGCAGAAAGAGAAGAAAAGAGAAAAATGGGGTACAAAGAGAGAAGGAGAGAGAAAAATGAGAACAGAAATAGAAGAAAAGAGAAAAACAGGGTACAAAGAGAGAAAGAGAGAGAAAATGAGTAGAAAGACAAGAAAAGAGAAAATGGGGTACAAAGAGAGAAGAAGGAGAGAGAAAAATGAGTACAGGGAGAAAAGAAAAGAGAAAAATGGGGTACAAAGAGAGAAGGAGAGAGAAAATGAGAACAGAAAGAGAAGAAAAAGAAAATGGGTTAAAAGAGAAAAAGGAGAAAAAGTGCAGAAAGAAAAAAGAGAAAAAAAAAAGAGAAAAGAGAAAAATGAGTACAGGGAGAAAAGAAAAGAGAAAAAGAGAGAAAGAGAAAAAATGAGTGCAAAAGACAAGAAAAGAGAAAAATGGGTACAAAGAGAGAAGGAGAGAGAAAAAATGAGCAGAAAGACAAGAAAAGAGAAAAAATGGGTACAAAGAGAGAAGGAGAGAGAAAAAAATGAGTACAGAGAAAAAAAAAAGAAAAATGGGTTACAAAGAAAGAAAGAGAAAAAAAAAAGAAATACAAAAAAGAGAAAAATGGGGTACAAAGAGAGAAGGAGAGAGAAAAATGAATGCAGAAAGACAAGATTAGAGAAAATGTGGTACAAAAGAGAAGGAGAGAAAAATGAGTACAGGGAGAAAAAAATAGAAAACAGGGGTAAAAAGAGAGAAAAGAGAGAAAATGTGCAGAAAGAGAAGAAAAAGAGAAAACAGGAAAGAGAAAAGGAGAGAGAAAAATGAGAGAAAGAGAAAAAAAGAGAAAACGAGGTACAAAGAGAGAAGGAGAGAGAAAAATTAGTACAGGGAGAAAAGAAAAAAAAACAGAAAAAGAAAAAAGAGAGAAAAAAAGTTGTAGAAAGACAAGAAAAGAGAAAAATGGGGTACAAAGAGAGAAGGAGAGAGAAAAATGAGTAGGGGAGAAAAGAAATAGAAAATGGGGTACAAAGAGAGAGAAGGAGAGAGAAAATGAGAAAGAGAGAAGAAAAGAAAACAGGGTAAAGAGAGAAAGAGAGAAAAAATGAGTACAGGGAGAAAAAAAAGAAAAAAACAAAGAGAGAAAGAGAGAGAAAAATGAGTGCAGAAAGAGAAGAAAAGAAAAACGGGGTACAAAGAGAGAAGGAGAGAGAAAAATGAGTGCAGAAAGAGAAGAAAAGAGAAAACGGGGTACAAAGAGAGAAGGAGAGAGAAAAATGAGTGCAGAAAGACAAGAAAAGAGAAAACGGGGTACAAAGAGAGAAGGAGAGAGAAAAAATGAGTACAGGGAGAAAAGAAAATAGAAAACGGGGTACAAAGAGAGAAAGAGAGAGAAAAATGAGTGCAGAAAGAGAAGAAAAGAGAAAACGGGGTACAAAGAGAGAAGGAGAGAGAAAAATGAATGCAGAAAGACAAGAAAAGAGAAAACGTGGTACAAAGAGAGAAGGAGAGAGAAAAAATGAGTACAGGGAGAAAAGAAAATAGAAAACGGGTTACAAAGAGAGAAAGAGAGAAAAATGAGTGCAGAAAGACTAGAAAAGAGAAAAAAGACGGTACAAAGAGAAGGAGAGAGAAAAAATGAGTACAGGGAGAAAAGAAAAGAGAAAACGGGTTACAAAGAGAGAAAGAGAGAGAAAAATGAGTGCAGAAATACAAGAAAAGAGAAAACGGGGTACAAAGAGAGAAGGAGAGAGAAAAATGTGTACAGGGAGAAAAGAAAATAGAAAACGGGGTACAAAGAGAGAAGGAGAGAGAAAAATGTGTGCAGAAAGAGAAGAAAATAGAAAACGGGGTACAAAGAGAGAAGGAGAGAGAAAAAATGAGTGCAGGGAGAATAGAAAAGAGAAAACGGGGTCCAAAGAGAGAAGGAGAGAGAAAAATGAGTGCAGAAAGAGAAGAAAAGAGAAAACGGGTTACAAAGAGAGAAGGAGAGAGAAAAAATGAGTGCAGGGAGAAAAGAAAAGAGAAAACGGGGTACAAAGAGAGAAGGAGAGAGAAAAATGAGTGCAGAAAGAGAAGAGATCAAAACCAACACAGAAAGAAAAGGAGAGAAAAAACGGTGAGAGATGTAGAGAGTAAAACGATTGCAGAGAGAGAAAACAAGTACAGAAGAGAACGAATGAGAGAGAAACTAGTGCATAAAGAGGATGAGGAAGACAACGTGGTACAGAGAGAGAAAGTTTTAGAGAGAGAAAAACGAGTAGAGAAATTGAAGGTGGGAGATGAACAAGTAGAGAAAGAGATGAGAGACAAGCGATTACAGGAAGAAAAGCTGAGTGAAAAGGAAGTACGTAAAAGGAGATGTGAAAATTCATATCGCAAAAATTGAAAAAATCAGGATCATAAAGACAGATAAACATAAAACGGGTGCAGAAGGAAAACGAAAGCGATAAATCAGGTACTTGATAATCTGGAAACTTATGCATAATTGTTTGGTTAGTTGATTTTGTTTAGCGGCACATCAACACCTCTAGGGGTTATTTAATGCCGAATTCTAAATACAATGGAATCCCTGACAACCGGAAGGCTTTCCGGATATGAAGAATTGGTTACAAAGTCCGGATATGAGGGGTTATATTTAGATTAAAATAAAAGAACTGAAATCAGGTTTAACATTTTTTTCAGTATTTTATAGTAAACAAAATAAGCTGGTGAGTGAAATATAACGGAAAGGATTTTAAGGAAAAAGAAATAAATTATGTAAAGTTAATGAAAATTCATTCAATTAAGTATGCCATGTATGCAAAACAAATAATGCAACGAGGATTTTTAATCGTTGTTGAATGATGATTCTTTCTCTTCTAATGTCATTCTCAACTTTTTCCGCATTTCGTTTTGCTTTTGGTCTTGATATTTTTAAAACAAAAGACACTTTTTAACTCTGCGTGCGTTATTGCAATCATCACAGCTGAATGCTAGCTTTCTTTCCATAAAACTGACAACCTTTTCAATAGCTTTTCCAATTTCAGTCCAGGTTTCATCACAATCATGTTTTTTTTTTTTTTTCCTTGCTCATTGTGACATTTTGAAGGACGGAGAATAGTTTCTTTGAGATATTTTATATCATACAATGAACTTTCACCTGTGTCTGTTTAAAATTTCCACTTTTTGCAATAATTCCAAAGTTGTTCTTTTCCTGTTATCCTCATCATCTTTTGCACTAATAAAAGCCATTAGGGTGAAATAAGCATAAGCAATTATGCAAAGTAAATTTCCTGAAAAAAGCAGAAATTTCAAATCAGTTACATATCACCCCAATAGTTCAAATAAACACATCGAATTCATATCCGGATATGAGGGTTTCTAGGTGTGAGGATTCCGGATAAGAGGGATTCTACTGTATTTTGAACACAGTTTTATGGCCTCAATTACAGATATTCTGTACATAATTTATGGTGTCAGCGTTTTAGTTTTTAGATGATAAAATGTATTGGTGGTAATTTAATTTAAAAATTTTAATAATCTTTTGAATTTAATTCCAATACAAAAATTCATTGTTGGTATCTTATTTATTATAAAACGCAGATTGTGCGTGTGTGTGTGTCTGTATGTTTATATATGGGATCGGATTTCCTACATTTTTCAACCGATTTCAACAAAACTTCACTTTTTTTTCAGGTTGTGTTTCTTATTGTCTTGCACACTTTTTTCTTTTTATTTTTACATTCAGAATGCTTTTTAAAATTCCATTTACAAGACAATTGTTTATAATAAAATTCTATTCAATCGATTGACTGATAACGATTGAAAACAATGTTTTTGTTTGAGTTTGGTTTGACCAATTGTAAAAAACAAACAAACAAAAACCACTAAGACATGCGTGTCCGTCAACCTTAAACAATAATTTTGTCAATTTGATTTTTCAGTCTTTATGATGGTCGATACTTGATCTATCTCTTACTGTTACATCCCCCGGCAACGCCGGGCTCTACTGCTAGTATTTTATAAAGATGTATTTTAATACTTTTTTAGTGTTGATTTCTGAGTGATTTTATTATAAAATGTGTTGTTGGTCATAATATATATATATATATATATATATATATATATATATATATATATATATATATATATATATATAGTTAGTTAGTTAGTTAGTTTATGCAAAACCAGGTAATCCGTATGGGTAGACCCAAGGAGGATGATATCCGGAGAGCTCAATTATAAATTCAGAGCAAATATGTTTGAATAAAAAACAGACCACTTTAAGGTTCCATGTAATAAGTTATTTCACCACAGCCCTTTTAAAAGGGCTCTGGATCATAAGACTTTAACTTCCAAAGGTTGAAATGAAAAATGAAAAGAAATTTACACATTTTTGACGGGCCGTATTAAGCAAATGTAAATTAACGAAGTGAGGAAGTGAAGGGGAGAAGACGAAGTGAGGAAGAGAGAAGACATGAGGAGTTAGATGTACCATTTCACCTTTATCCCTAACCCCACTTGGTGTGGGCTAAACAAACGCTTCACTTGACTTATGTTATCTTTAGATATGGATGGGTAAGTGGTGAAGAGGAAAGCCGACATAAAAAGGAAGAAGATACGATAAAACCAATCCTGATGAGAGAAGTTTCACCAATTTCTGGACGCTGTTATTTAGCATTCCTTTAAAGGGTATATTTGGGGGTTAAAGTTTGATATAAATCTAAATGTTTACAAAAATCTACGAAGAATTTAATTTGATGTTTGTTGGAGTTTTGGATATTTTCTATGAAATAGTCGATTGGAAAGAATCCATAGACAGTAGATTGAAAGAATAATTCATTCTACATCTAGTAATCTTTTTTTTATTTTCCTAAACTTTTTTCTTGCTGCTTATTAAGTTGACATCTATTCGTTTGAATTTTGTTCATAAATTAAACTCGTGACTGTTTTTAGGTACCTACATAGTTATCAGAGGTTATTCCAATTTAAATAATTTTATCATCAATAATGATCCTTAAAGAGTAATATATTTCAATTTAAACTAAATTATCAGTTTAAAATTTACCTCCGTATTATTTAGACTCAGTTATATATATATATATATATATATATATATATATATATATATATATATATATATATATATATATATATGGTATTTTACGCTAAAATGTATTTTTATACTTTTCCTAATGTTTTGATTTATTTTGGGTTCACTATTTTACCATAGATAACTGGTGCTACCAAGCAGGTCAGGGTGAGTCTGGGAACACCAGCAGTTAAGAGGTGGTTCCACGCTCCTCAAAACCTCCGGATCAGGGGCCTTGCTGCAGGATGTAATTTATCGTCATACCCAGGATTACGCATGCATGCAGTGAAACCTAAAACAATCTCAAAGACAGAAAACAAAGAAAATGGGATAGAAAAAAATGACATTGTAAACAGGTCATGATAGATAGATAGATAGATAGATAGATAGGAGGGGGCTGATAGATAGATAGATAGATAGATAGATAGATAGATAGATAGATAGATAGATAGATAGATTTTTACTATAAAAATGTATTTTTATACTTTCCCTAGTGTTTTGTTTTGTTTTGGGGTTTACTATTTTACCATAGCTAAAAGGGGAGCTTGGGAACAGCAGCAATTAAGAGGTGGTTCCACGCTCCTCAAAACCTCTAACCTCCAGATCAGGATCCTTGCTGCCGGATGTAGTTTATCGTCAGACTTAGGACTACGCATGCATGAAGTGAAACCTAAAACAATCTCAAAGGCAGAAAAGAAACACAAATACATCGATAAAAAAAATAATAGTACAAAAAAGTGACAATGTAAACAGGTAAAGAAGGACAGAAAAATAGACCCGAAAATTAGAGAAAACAAAAGAACGTATTCAAGATGGCTATGAACTGCAGAGCGATGAAGACTGTGCAGCGACAATTTTCCGAGCGATTAAGTTGCGTAAATGAAAAATCGGAAATTAGCTTTTAAATTTTTTCTTTTTTTGCTTACAGGTATTTTGTAATTGATTTTAGCGCCGGGAAGCAAAGGAGATTGAAAAAATATTGATTGAACTTTATTTAAGCAGAAGCAAATGTTTATTTTCTAACGTCTAAGTGTGGAAATTTGAAATTTGAACTGAAATGTTCCCTCTATCTAAAATGTTCAAAATATTCACTGTTGAATTAAGTGCAATGACAGGGAAGGAGATTATGTTCAATTATAAACATTTGTAAAATACATACATTTTTAGTTAGGCTGCAGTCCTATTACTGTACCTGCTATTATAGAGAGGTTCATTCACAGATTGAGTGTTTCGCTGTATCACAGCTCCTCAGTGTGGTTAGACGTTCGATTGCTTCAAGCCGGGATCGAAACCCGACTGATTTGATATCAGTCTTACCCTAGGCCACTGTCGCATGGCAGAAAGGAAGCGAGTTTTATTGTGTTTTCTTTCTACGAAATGGGGTGGGAGTCAGATGCTCGTGCTGAAAAGATTTCAGGACAACGAAAAATAATTTTTACCCATTTTACCCCCAAATTCTAATTGTCTCATGATCTTTTAATACGAGAGAGAGAGACCAAGACAGAGACAGAGAGCGACAACAAGAAAGACAGTATATATATATATATATATAGAGAGAGAGAGAGAGAGAGAGAGAGAGACAGACAGACAGACAGACAGACAGAGAGAGAGAGACACAGACAGAGACAGAGAGAGACAACGAAAAGACAGTGTATATACATATATATACATATATATATATATATATATATATATATATATATATATATAGAGAGAGAGAGAGAGAGAGAGAGAGAACAGACAGACAAAGACAGAGGGAGACTGGGAAAAAGACAGTGGCAGTGCATGTGTATATATATATATATATATATATATATATATATATATATATATATATATATATATATATATACACTGGGTGCGATGGGTAAATTGGTGCAAGTTTATATGTTTAATTTCGCCCTTTTGATTTTTTTTTTTTTTTTTTTTGATTTTGTCGATTGCATAGTATAGTACATTCAGTTAAGCATAGTCTGTGAGAAACAGAGCACCATGAGGCAATTCACTCCTCCAGAAATTTAGAAACGGTATGCTGTACTGCTTGGTATTCACGGTGAGAGCTCCAACGTGAAAATTTCAGTGTATTTGGGTGTCAATCTGAGGACAGTGCAGAGAATTCAAAAAGAGTTGGATGAGTCTAATGGTGATTACAAATGTATGACAACTCGGAAAACTCACTCTGATCGTTCTGATAAGAAAAGAACTCCCGTATTTGTTGGTGAGGGCTTCAGACTCAACACGAAGAGCTACATCAAGTGCCTTGAGGAGGTAGTGCTGCTCTGGGTCAACAGGGTGGAAGACACTATGTCTGGCAACAGGATCCTGCGCCATGCTACACGAGAAGGAGAACCCAGTCATGGCTGTTAGACACTTTCTGCAACCACATCACGCTTTATATCTGACCACTTAGCCCTAATCCCAGACTGCACTCATCTTCATTATTATGTGCGGGGCGCCACTGAGCAAGAGACCAAAAAAAAAAAAACTCCTTGTAACACCAAAGATGAACTGAAGGCATGGATTATGGCAGCATTCACCAACTTAAACAAGGAGACCGTCCACAAGAGTTTCAGGAGATACCAAAGTTTTCTGGAGATCGTGGTTGAAGCCAATGGCGATTTTATTGAATAAATTTACTCTTTGCCATTTTAAGATATTTTTGTGTATTTTTCGTAAATATATCTGTTAAAATGAGACGTCAATGTTATTTTAATTTTTGTGTAATTTAGATGACAATTTATCCGCTGTAAAATTAGAGAGAAAGATAAACAGTGATGGAATAATGTAATAAACACTTTATGGTGATCGTCCGTTTCACACCTTCAGGCCATTCTGGTGCTAAACGGGTAGTCACAATACAGTGTTGATAGTCCACACTGTCTAAATCTATAAGCATTCTATATCCGACATTAGCCATCTTCCCATTTAAACAAAAAAATTTAAACAATATATATATATATATATATATATATATATATATATATATATATATATATATATATATATAGTTCCTTATATTTTTATTTTTATTTTAAGAAGACAGTGCTCCATACAGAAGTAGAGCTTTATTATAATAATATTTTTGTCTAAAAATATGATTCCTTCTGCTACATAAGAGTATAGGAATAAGCTATCTCTCGGTTTACGTGTATTTTTAGGCATGATCCATGAAAACATTCGTAATTGTTGGAGTGGCTAGGCTAGTTTTCTTCGTTAAGTGGTCAGAGAGTTAATTTTTATCTAAAGATTCATCATCTTCTGAGAGGTTTTGCTAAGGTTGGGTAGGGTATCTATTTCAAGGCTAATGTTTGCGGTAACCCTTTAGTTGGTTCCCAGTGAGGGATATTTTTATGGCGCGCCTACAAGTCGTTATGTGTCTGGAGGATTGTCTTTTATTATTGTCCATCTGATTATCTATTTATTTATTTGTTTATTCAAGTGGGTGTTTTATATACAAATCGTATTGCACTGAATTTCAATTTTTTTTTTTTTTGTTTTTTTGACGACTACAAAAAGTTTGTTTTTTTTATTTAATGATTTGGCTAAGCCTTTAAGACTTTTATTTAGCTATGGGATTTTTTTTCTTGGATAGCTAATTCCTAAAATTTCGCTTGAAGATGAAACGGGACTACACACCTCAATTCAACTTAATTTTAATAATTATTTGGATGGTTTCGGCTCTCGTTTTTGAAACATGAGAACTCTTATGTAGCGAAGGAATCATATTTTTAAACAAAATATATATATATATATATATATATATATATATATATAGAGAGAGAGAGAGAGAGAGAGAGACAGACAGACAGACAGACAGACAGAGAATAGAAAGAAAGAAAAATAAGAAAGAGAGGACTGTTAGAAATAAAACCTTAATATATTCAAACGAAAACTATCCAAATTAAATAAACTCTGCTTAATATACAAGCTAAATGGATTGTATGTTTATTTTATTTTAATTTTATTAATTTTATCTTGTGTCGGAGAAAAACCTAGTCTTTGTGTAATTGGTAGCAAGATCTTTAGTAATGATTCCGATCGCCCACTCAGTGAACCAATATATCTGGGCTTAAATCACAACAAATTTATCATACGTATATCAATATTCAAATTTCTTGGCAACTGCACTGAAGAGCTACTTTCACTATCCCTCCCCCCCCAAACTGTATGAATTTAAGCCTTCCACTGGGTTGGAATCTCGGTCCCACCCTTTCACTGTCGTAACTGTTAAGTGTAACCGCCTCTTCTACTCCAGCAGCCACTTCTCTCGCACTAGCCCGACAGTGGAACTCACTTCCTCCTACTTGCTTCCCTGATAACTATAATCTTCAAATATTCAAATATAATGTCAATCGACATCTTCTGATTCTTTAATCCTGATCCCCGTCCTTCTTTATATCCCTTCCTCAAACACCCCTCTTTACTCTCAGTAACCCCTTGCATGCTCGTGGCACTCCCGCCTTGACTGGGGTGAAATGCTTAAAAAAAAAATGTTTCCTCTCTTCTTTCAATTAAATCTGATTATTAAAGTAGCCATTTTTCTATATTATTCTATCTCTGTCCCATAATGATTGTTCCATTTAGTCTATGAAATGTGTACGTAAATGGAACAATCATTAAGAGATGGGAACTCCCTTCCTCCTACTTGCTTCCCTGATGGCTATAATCTTCAAATATTCAAATGTAATGTCAATAGACATCTTCTGATGCCTTGATCTTGATCCCCGTCTTTCTCTATATCCTTTCCTCAAACACCCCCCTCTTTACACTAGCATCCACTCTCAGTAACCCCTTCCGCCTTTCTTACAGTGAAACGCTTAAAAAATAGTGTTTTTCCAATAATTTAATCGTTTTCGTCATTTAAAAAATACCAATGAAAACGTTATAATGTTTAAAATCTTTCTTCATCAGAAATATAAATCAAAAATGAACTTCACTTAGTGAAATGCTTTCCTTTTCTGTGTACTGAAAAGAGAAAATAATTCGGACAGCCTCACACGCAGAAAAGATCAGTCGACTAAACGAACACACGAACACAAGGTTAGATAACTGCTCGCTTTTATTTAAAAGCAAAGCGAGGCATCAACATCATCGGAGAAGCCATACGGGAAGCCGATGGCGTCAGAGAAGGAAATGTTCGAAATATGTTCAGTAATAATAAAAAGAATTGGTAGAACACTTAAAGATATTTGCATGTGCCCCCACACCGAAGAAGAATTATTTGCATAGGGTTATGCAGATGGAACTGGTACACACAGACACAGGTTTCAGGTGTCTACTACCAGTGGCGAGTTGGTCTCGCAGATTAGTTCATGAGTTTAACGAGTTCCATCCGCAGAGGAGGGTTTAATCATCCAGGCTTGCGCCTGTTAAGATTAAGTTTATTAAATAACCAAATTACTATGTCAATGAATACATAATAATATTTGTATTATAATAATATTTGAATAAATTCACACCACGGAAGGCGATAATGCCATAGGATGCAAGGGGCTACTCACTGGGAGTAAAAAGAATGAAAAAGATTTTAGAATGAACCTGAAATGCAATTCTAAAGAGTAGACAGTTGATAAAACTACACTGCCGTCAAAATAATGATATGCGAACCTATCTATTCCAATTGAAGAATAAAAATAATTATTAACTAAAATTTCAAAGTTCAACTGGAGACGTTAGAAGTATAGAGCTGAAGTAGACTGTAGAATGAACTGGGAATTTTTTAACGTCGTTGATAGATGAAGGGACGTTCATCGAATGCTTTGAAGTCATTAGTGGAATGAAATCCACGGTAAAGTAAAGTCGTCCCTCGTTTACTGCAGTTAATCAGTTCCAGGATTCTTTATTTATAAATTGAATATTTTCGTAGAGCATAGAGGAAAACCTATTTACGACCTTTCACAATACGGTTTTTATATTATAAGATCTCTCTGAATAACACCCCTGTAGTCACCTTTACACTTATATTACCCAATAGATTAGACAAAATAAGAAGAAATAAGACATATTAGGCATTACATATATTATATTATTGTACATTAAAATCACAAAGTTCTAACGTGTACATCGCTTCATCATCAAACAAGTTGCATTATTTTCCTAGGTTAGTGTGAACCTAGGAAAATAATGCAACTTATTCGATGATGAAGCAATGAAGAGATGTACTGCACAACAAAGGTTTCTACTCCTTTAAATCATTTGCATAAACCTTCTTTATACCTTTGGAAAGACTAATAAGCATAATTTAATACTTTCTTTTCCGCACATCTCTGAAATCAATTTTCCCATTTGCATTTATATCTTTGTATGCAGTTTTGATTTTGTTGCCAAAAAACAAAATTTGGCTTTATTTTAATCAAATATTATTGCCTTGTTGTTTTCTGCCAGGTTTGGTGTCAACTTACTATCTTCTGAACAATGTTGTTTGCCAACTCCTTTTCACAAACACGCAGCTAAACACATCATCAACAAGTGTACCCGGGAATAAGCAAAGATATTAAACCCATCACAATTTATCATATGCCGACACTTAGCAAAGACAAGGAAAGCCTAGGTTTTAGAGTTTCATACGCCTAGGAATGTAAGACAAGCATGTGTCTTCGCACTGGACTTGTTCTACCTATATGGGGGGGAAGGGGATTCTGAGAGAATTAGTCCGTCCAAGAATCATTATTGGTGGACACAGTCTTAGCAACATCCGATATGCAGACGGTACAATGTTGATAACAGAGACGGAAAGAAAACCATAAAAACTCCAACAGAATGTAATGAAGGAAAGTGAGAAGAAAGGACTAAACATCAATTGCAAGAAGTCAGAATGCATGGTTGTTAGCAAAAGGATGAACCCAGAATACAAATTATAAATTGGAGATAGAAAAATCAAACAGATACAAAAATTTAAATATCTGGGAAGTGTTTTAACAGAGGTCGGAAATTGCAACACCAACATCGGAAGGCGCATTGCAATAGTGAAAGATGCTTTCCTAAAACTAAACAAAGTATTAAGAAACAGAAAAAAAAATTCGTTAAAACAAATAAAATAGTACTGAGCTATTAAGTATTATCTGTCTACCTATACGGCAGTGAATGCTGGACAATCTTCACACAGATGAAGAAGAGACTTGAAGCAACAGAAATATGGTTCTACAGAAGGATGCTGAGGATATCATGGACTGAATATATAATCAACGACAAAGTTTTAGAGAAAATGGAGACAAAAAGCAAACTCATACTCAACGCAGGGAAGAGGCAATTGACATTTCTTGGGTACATAATAAGTAAAAGGGGCTTAGAAAATGTGATACTCACAAGACAGATTGAAGTTAGAAGGAGACATAGAAAAACAATGCATCAAATACTTATTGAGCTTGAGTAAATTGATGGCTTTGATAAGGTTTAGGGGGGGGGGGATAACAAAAAGGTAAAATTTATTAAGAGCTACAAAGGATAAGAAATTGCGAAGAGCCATGATCGCTTACGTCCTGACGGGACAAGGCATATAAAAAAGAACCCGCTCTCAGAGAAAGGAACAAAGCCGGTCTTTGATAAATGTAAACGGAAGTTATTTATAAATGAACCTAATGATATTAATATCAGGTAACTTCGCTGGTAAAATTTATATCTTGGCGAGTTTTTATAGGAGATCTAACACAGCCCAACTTCCTGCTAGGAGATGTCAGTCAGTAGAAGACCGCTGCTATCAAAGGATGTATACGGGCTTCAATGAATATTAATGCAACGTGTACCAACTGCATGGATATTAGCACCCAGCGTTCCCAAGTAGAACGTTGGCCAAAGTTATAACACTGAATTTAACGGCTTATTTTTTTAACCTTATTCATAAGAAAGTAAAACACATGAGTGACATTGGCCCTTCTGAGCGTAAATACACAGTTCTCGCATTCATGTATCTATTAAAGACTTCTCAACGGTTCACAATCGAAGAACAACACGATGTAGTGCGTTAGAGAGTGTCTAACTAAATCTATCACTTGGTGTCAGTGCAGTAAGGAGCACGCACCATGAAAGGTGTATCAGTAGGTAGAACGCTTTATTGCGGGAAGAACAAGAGTAACGAACAAGAGACGATCTGGTCGCCCATCAACATCGCGCTCGGAACAAACACCCAGAAGGTGGGTGCCTTGATCAGGGAAGAAAAACGAATCATGTTAACACAGTTATAGGCAATCTCGGACATCAGCTATTGATCTATACAAGCCAAAGGTCTGGGGACTTGAGGTACCGTAGAGTTTGTGAGCGTTGGGTGCCCAAACAAGTAAGCAGTACAGACGAGGCTTCGTAAGCAACCGAAAAGCTTGTTTTCGGAATGGACGAAGAAGCTCTTTGAATGATAACAGAAATACATCGCCATGCAGGGCATCTCTGTCGAAAAGTGAGCCATGTTCTTAATTAGGCCAAGTAAAAGTTTTTTTATGAAAACTGTCTTTACTTTTTTTTACTACCCTTGTATACACAACAGAGAAATCCAAAATTATCTCATGGGTATAGTCTATTTCAGCTGAAACATACCAAACACATATAATACAAGTAATAAATCCGTTGGTATATAATCCAAGTGGATTCTAATAATATAAAATATTAAAACTGATCCACAAAAAAATCTCAATGTATTTATTATAAAAAAGCATGTAAATTACACAACAGTGAAACTCAAAATTAACTCATGAGTATAGTCTATTTCAACTGACGCTGAGCACGTCAGTCTTATTCAACCCAGACAGTGAACTGTATTCAGTGTCGGAACTAAAGATTTAAAATTTAATATTTAACAAAGACAGCAGTTGAAAAATTGATACATAGCCTATCCATATCGTAGGCTCTGTATCAATGATACAGAGCCTACGATATGAGCTCCGGACTTCTGATCTTGCGCTAGACTAAGTTAAATTTAGGCGTCTGGTCATATGCCAGAGAATTACAACAAATGCAAATTCTGTCCTCCTAGGTTTACCTGTAAATATTTCTACTTGCTCAATGTCTGTTTCCGTTAGTGCTATACAACAAGGTTTAACGGTGAAGTGAGTCGTCGTGTAAGCAGTTTAACAAATCTCTCTCCCATAACTTACTTGCGAACACAGGCAACGCCATAAAGACCTGTTACACCAATAGTCAATTTTGATATGGTAAAAAATAATTACTTATTTTAGATATGTCGAATAAACTTTAAAGTCATAACTAAAGATCGTATGAAGAAAAAACGTTCATATATTTTGAAGAAAGGGTATATGTAAATAGCTGTGTGTGTGTGTGCGTGTGTATGTTTATGTGTGTGTGTGTGTGTAAACATGCGTCATTATTTTATTGCAACCAATAATGAAAAGCTGTCTGCATATTTGAAGGTCAAAATGAAAGTTAAAGGCTTCCTTGAAAGGAAGTCTTCGCAATGTAAGATATTTGGACTGGAATTTACGAAGAAATTGTGACTCGTTTTAAAATTGTCACGAACAAGACGAGAAGAACATTCCAAACAGATGTAAGTTAAGAAAACAAAAAATAACGATGGCTGGAAGAAAGGAAAAGTAAGTGTTTCTGCTAGAATGGAAAAGAAAAAAAAACTGAAAGGAAGAAAGTCTAAAACCAGGAAGACTAAAACCTGGAAGAAAGAAAAAAGATCGAAAGAAAGAAGAAAGAATAAAACGTGAAAGAAAGAAAGAAAGTAAGAAAGAAAGAAAGAAAGAAAGAATGAAAGAAAAAAGATCGAAAGAAAGAAGAAAGAATAAAACGTGAAAGAAAGAAAGAAAGAAAGAAAGAAAGGCTAAACTCTGAAAGAAAAAGGAAGAAAGAAAACCTTAAAAAAGAAGGAAAGGAAGATAAAACCTGAAAGAAAGAAAGAAAGAAACAAACAAACAAGGAAAGAAAGAGAGAAAGAATAAAACCTTAAAAAAAGAAAGTTTAAAACCAGAAAGAAGAAGGAAAGAAAGAATAAAACCAGAAAGAAAGGAAGGTAGAAAGATTAAAACCCGAAAAAAGTAAGTAAAAAACCTAAAAAGGAAAGAAAGAATAAAACTTGAAAGAAAGACAGAAAGAAAGAAAAACAGAAAAATACCTGACAGAAAAAAAAAGAAAGAAAGAATAAAACCTGAAAAAATGTATAAAACCTTAAAGAAGAAAAAGAAAGAAAGAATAAAACCTGATAAATCTTGAAAGAAAGAAAGAAACAAACAAATAAACAAAGAAATAAAGAAAGAATAAAACCTGAAAGGCGAAAGAAAGTATAAAACCTGAAAGAAAGAAAGGAAGAAAGAAAGAAAGAAAGAAGGACTAAAACCTGAAGGAAAGAAACAAAGAAAGAAAGAATAAAAGAAAAAAAGAAAACCTGAAAATGAAAGAAAGTATAAAACCTGAAAAAAAGAAAGAATAAAACCTGAAAGAAATAAGAAAACTTGAAAGAAAGAAAGAAAGAAAGAAAGAAAGAAATAAAGAAAGAAAGAAAGAAAGAATAAAACCTGAAATTAATAAAGGAGAATACCTGAAATAAAGAAAGACTAAAACCTGAAAAAATAAAACCTGAATGACACAATAAAACCTGTAAGAAAAGAAAAGAAAGAAAGAAAGAAAGAAAGAAAGAAATAATAAAACCTGAAAGAATAAAATCGGAAAGGAAGAAAGAAAGAAAGATGAATAAAAGCTGAAATAAAATGACAAGAGGCAAAAGGTAAATGAAACAAACAGAGAGAAAGCAAGAATAAAAATTAAAAGAATGGAATAAAATCCAATAAACAAAAGAAAGAAAGAAAGAAAGAAAGAAAGAAAGAAAGAGCGAAAGAAATTAATCGAAAGCTTCATTGGAATTGCTAGGGTCGTCAAGGAAAGCTAGGAATATTGTCAGTCGAAGAGCTGGTGGATAAAGATGGAATCTTCTTACACGGAGTAGGAGGTGTCAATGCGAAGTAGTCGGAGGAGACAGACAGTAAGAGAGTGAGTGGTTGGGAGGAGCGGCCTGATGCGGCCAACAGGCGCACGAAGCAGGTTACTCTGACCATTTTGCTGGAGAGAGTGACGGAAAGAGCGCTTCGGAGAGACGAATAACAGAGGAATATCCCCCGTTTTGTTGTCGGAAAAGAAAAAGGCAGATGGGAGAGAAGGGAGAAGGAATTACGGTAGAAAAAAAAGATGGAGTAATGGAAACAATGAAAAAAAGGAAGGAAGGAATGAATGAAAGATGAGAGGAAGAAACTAGGAGCACGAAAGAAAAATGAGAAGCCAAAAAAGAAGGAAAAATGAGAAGCCAAAAAAGAAAGAAAAATGAGAAGCCAAAAAAGAAAGAAAGTGTAATGCATAAGAAAGAATTTGAATAAAAAAGAAAAGAAAAAATGAAAAAGAAAAGGGACGAAGCGATAAGGAGCTTAAACAAGAAGAAAAGGAAATAACAAAGAAGAAAAGAAGAAATATCACGAAAAAGAATGAAGAAAGGTGATAAACTGAAAAAATATCTTAGAAGCAAATTGAAAGAATTCGAAGAAAAAAGAAAAAAGAGGAAGAAAAAAAAAAGACGTATGAAATCGAAAATAGGGAAATTCGAAAAGGAAGAAGAAATAAACTCAGAGAAAGGGAGGAAGAATTGGTAGAACTAGTAGAAGAAAATAAGAACCATTAAAAAAGGAAAGAAAAAGAAATCCGGAAAGATGTGGGAGGGGCAGAGAAAACTGAGACGGAACTAAGAAAAGGAAAAATTTGAAGAATTGCGACAACCGAAAAAGAAAAAGAACAAAAAAACAGATATGCAGCGAAAATAGAGAAAGAATAAAAAAAAGCAAAAGAAAAAATATGCAAGAAAAAGAATAGAGGAAGAAGGAATAGGGAAGAAAAAGAAGAGGAAAAGAAAGATTTTCGAAGACACGATAGAAGGTAATGAATGAAAATATAAAAGAAAAAGGAGCGAACTATATTAAGCAAAAAGGAAGGGGGAAAACGAAGAATGAGTAAAGGCAATGATTGGTAAAAATATAAATAAAGAAAAAACGGCGGGAAGCAAAATGGAAGAAAAAATAGAGTTGAAGGAGTAGATAATAATAATAATAATAATAATAATGAATAAAAATGAAATGAAGGAAAAAGAGGAACGATGTAAAGTTAAAAAGAAAGAAAAAGAAGTGAAGGAGCAGAAATTATAAACGAAAAGGACGAACGATGAAAAGCGAGGGAGAAGAAAAAAATTAAAAGGTAACGAATAAAAATTTGAAGGAAAAAGCAGAAATGATGAAAGGCGAGAAGGAAGAGAAGATGAAATGGTTTGAAGAAGATAATGAATAAAAAGTGTGAATAAAAAAGGGGAGTAGGGAAAAATGAGAAAGAAAAAAGTTGAAAGAGTAGAAGGAAGGTAATTATTAAAAATGGTGAAGGAAAAAAAAGAAACGATGAAATGCGAAATGAATGATGGAAAACAGGTTCAATCGCTAAACAAAGGTAATGAAAGAAAAACTGAAAGATAGAATAAGGAAAGCGAGAAGAAACGAACGAACGAAAGAAAATGGCGGAAGTGAAATATGAAGAGAAAAAGAAAAACAAAGAATCAATGTGAAATCTGGCGAAAGAAAACTAGAGAAACAAAAAAAAAAAAAAAGAACGAAGAAATAAAGAAACGTAAAATAAGAAAGACAAGACCAGGGAGAAATCAGTTGACGTGGTGGCGGTCGCGGCGGTTGGCGACCGGGGTGGAGAGTTGGTGTGTTGGAGAGAAAGGTTCTGTGTTGGTGACGGAAGACAGAAGAGGCAGAAACAGTACCAGGTTACGGTGAACTTTTCAAGAGAAAGAGATGGTAACGATATCCGATTTTGAAACTGCACTTGGTCACTGTAAAAAAGAGAGTTAGAGAATCACGGGAGGAGCGATAGGAGGATCTTCATACATATATATATATATATATATATATATATATATATATATATATATATATATATATATATCCTAACCATTATTCCTCACCGCCACTCACGCACATGCATATGTGCGCACGTTGAGGTTGCGCAACTGTTATTAGCATCCAGTTACAAATTGGAAGACAGGGTTCAAATTCCGACCGATGCTATTGCATTCACTTCCCACAATGCTCTTTGTAAAGGCATGAGAACATCTCTTCCTTACACAGTTATGAGTAAAAATGATAGGGCAGATTTGACTTTCTAGCATTGATAGGCCAATTAATATAAGAGAATGATAGCTCTGAATCTAAACACCTGCCGACGTATAATGGGACAGAATGCCTGGATAACACGCATTACTCCCTAGGTCTGACAGATATAGGAATACACACACACACATATATATATATATATATATGAAAATATATAGAAAATAGGAAGGAACTGGTTAGGTAAATAATCCAAAAGTCCCTTAGTATTTTAGTTATTATTTTTTAAAAATAGTGCTCGATACAAAAGTAGAGCATAAATATAATTATTTATTTAAAAATATGATTCCAAATCGCGACATAAGAAGTCCCATGTTTCAAAACAAGAGCCGAAAACTTCAATATAATTATTTTAATTATTTAAATTATTTAAATTAAATTGAGTTAAAATAAGCTCTGTTCCATCTTCAAGCGAAATTTTTTTTGGAATCTATATATATATATATATATATATAAAACACCAACAAAGAATGGCAATTTCTTTTCTTTTTTTTTGGGGGGGGGAATCATATTTTAACCTTTTTTTTTATTTAGTTCGCATTTTTTGTAGTTGACATGTAGGAGCCAAATAAAGTTTTTAGGTAATAACAAGATTTGGGTTGTTCTTACAATACTTGATACTAAGGACTTTTTTTTTTTACTTTTTGCGACACACACCAACACCCTCATACACACACCATCCAAAAACTCACGACAATGAACCTTAGATCAGGACCATACATAATAATACAGATCATTGCAAAATTAATAGTAGCAAAATGCGGTATAGGAACAACAAAACAGACATCTACTCCGAGGGGACAGATTTAAAATCCAGCAGACATCAAAGGGTCTTATTCATATATATATATATATATCACTTACAGACATACATTAATATGATAATGTCAAATGTTATGTTTGAGGTGGAAAGTTCAATAGTTCGCGTGGTTAACAAAAGGTCACAACATTGGGTGAGTCAGTCAGGATCGAACTCACAACACCGTTCTATAAAATTACGTTATTCACCAACCCTAGGCGGTTACGTTCAATGCAAATAGCAACTCCGTTTATGGCACGTTGACTAAGTTTTGCTACACGGGGACACTACGATTATAGTCGCATTCGCTTGGTTAGGTAATATTTGCCTGTATGAGCTTGCTTATTGCTATTTCACACTGGTTCTTTAATATATATATATATATATATATATATATATATATATATATATATATATATATATATATATATATATATATGTATGTATGTATGTGTGTGTGTGTGTGTGTGTGTGTGTTAAACATGGTCTGACTATAGATCTTGGCATGATACAGACTGTTGTCTCTGGGTGTTAACATCAGTATCCACTTTTATACACATATATATATAAACTTCCAGGCGTCATTTTCATTTTTCCGTTCATCACCCCCATATATATATATATATATATAAATATATATATATATATATATATATATATATATATATATATATATATATATATATATATATGAGGGTGATATCACTATATATATGGGGTGATGAGGGGGAAATGAAATGACGGTTGGGAGTTTAACAAATAAAATCAAAACATTTTGGGAGAGTTTGTGTCGTTTGTTACCGAATTCCTTTCACCGAAATATTTGTGTTTACAAAAATCAAACTTTGTAATCATATGTGTGAGTGCATCCTGACCTATTTTTCAAAATGCTTTTAAAAAAAAAGACCACCTCCTCACCTCCAAACAAACAAGTGAATTAATCCCCAATGACCCCCACAGATTTTATTAATAAACTTCTTTTTTTTTTTCTTTTTTTTTTTTTTACAAAAAGCACAGGGAAATAAAAATGGGATCTCTAGGAAAAAAAAGATTGAGGGAATAAAAAGAAATTAAGAGAAATGAAAAATAGTCTGATCAATATTTCTCTGTTTGTATTGATTTGTTGTCTTTATTCCTTTCTTTCTTTTTTATTCTTTTCTTCCTTTTTTATTTCTTTGTTTCATTTTGTCTTTCTTTCATTCTTGTTTTGTTTATGTCATTCATTTTATTTTTGTCTATTCTTTCTATCTCTCTATCTATCGCAGTCTTTTCATATGTATCTATATTTCTATGTATCGCAGTCTATTCATATCTATCTATCTATCTATCTATCTATCTATCTATCTATCTATCGATCGATCGATCGATCTCAGTCTTTTCATATGTATCTATATTTCTATCTATCTCATATTTATCTCAGTCTTTTCGTATCTATCTACCTACCGATCTTAATATTTTCTCATCTATCTATCTATCTATCTATCTATCTATCTATCTATCTATCTATCTATCTCTATTCATATCTATCTATCTATCTATCTATCTACGCACGTCTCTTTCTATTTCTCTGTCAGTCCTTATCTATTACCTCTCCGTCTGTTGATCGATCGATCTTTCTTCTTTCGATTTCCGCCTTTTCGTATCTCTGTAAACCTACTTTGAAACACGATCTTTGCTCGTGCGATATTTTTTTGCGTTTGTCAGTCAGTCTTCGTATTCGCTTGTCTATCTGTCAACGCGTGCCTTGCAATCCATACGGCATCTCAGCTACTAAGCTAGATGCGTAAGCATTGCATCAGAGTTCAATCCCCACTCGATGCTCCATGAAAAAAAAAAGTGTGCCCTTTTGAATGAAACCACATTCAGCAGTTATTTTCCATCTATCTAAATGGCAAATAGTAGTGAGGTTACCATCGACGCTAACTCGACAGAATGCAAATGAATTAAAGCTGCGATGGTGATGGGGAGAATGGCTGTTTCCATTCATTGATCGAATGTTACGGTTGGCTGAAATTTATAAAACCTTTCTATTAAAACACTTTTCAGGAAAATAGTTTTCCCATGTCCAATGATATAATAATTGTGCATGTCCTTCTCTTCGCACGATCGTTACGCCCTGCTAACACCTCATAAATGATGGACTATTCCGTTTTGATTGCGTGAGAATACGAAAGATTCGTCTGAGGCGCTACTTGGTTTCAGTGAAAGAAATAAAGACCGATAGTGTTTAACGTCGTCTGTTAATACTTCATAATAGACTATAAGACCAATGCCGCATTCACCAGCAACAGACGCGTGAGAAGCTAAATAGTGATTCTCTAACCATAGTTTGGAGGTGGGTGCAAGGCCGAAAGTATGGATCGAACCCACCACCCAGTCGCAATTGTTCTAGCTAAACAAGTTTGCTAACCATTGCACCACGACCAGGTGCTACCAACATACATAGTTATCAATGATATTGCAATACTTTGTTAAATTTGTTACTCTCAAATATTTAACGATGCGATGGGGAAATTTCTACTGATATTTTGTTATCATTATGTTATTATATCATTTTTATTATCGCCATTAACTTAGACAATCATTAACTTAAGTATTAAGATTCATCAGAATATTAAAATCGGAAAACCATGACATTTTCAAGGGTTAAAACAACTAGTATGTAACTGTTATATAGGTTATAATGATATATATATATATATTGTGTGTATTTAGGCAGCATATTTTCATTTATACACGTTTCATTAAATAATATAGACAAGTGTTGTCTATTTATTTTATGTAAAATTTTCTCGTATCTTCTGATAAGTTTGATAACATTATCATTAACCCTTATGTAAACTAAACAATGACAGACTATCATCGCTGTCGTGTCCGTATATTGTTTGATATGTTTGTAATTACATCTTTGATAATGGCTTGAGTAAGCCGAAAGCTTAGATTATATTAAAAAATAATGGATAAATATTGTGAATTTCTTTTTTCGGTTAATGATAATGTTATCAAACTTATCAGAAGATACGAGAAAATTTTACATAAAATAAATAGACAACACTTGTCTATATTATTTAATGAAACGTGTATATATATATATATATATATATATATATATATATATATATATATATATATATATATCACCCCAAAAGCAAGGCGTGAGTGCCACTAGCACGCAAACAGTTACAGAAAGTGAGAGCAGGAATAAAATCGTTGTTTGAGGACAGATATAGAGAAGGGCGGGGATCAGTATCAAGGCATCAGAAGATGTCGATTGACATTACATTTGAAGATTATAGCTATCAAGGAAGGAAGTAGGAGGAAGGGAGTTCCCATCTGTGTACCATTATGATTGTTCCATTTACGTACACATTACATAGACTAAATGGAACAATCCTTATAGGACAGAGAATAATATAGAAGGATGGATACTTTAATAATCAGATTAAATTAAAAAAAAAAAAAAGAGGAAACATTTTTAAGCATTTCACCTTAAGCAAGGCGGGGGTGCCACTAGCACGCAAGGGGTTACAGAGGGTAGAGAACAAGAATAAAGAAGGGTGTTTGAGAAAAGGGTATAGAGAAGAACGGGGATCAAATGATCAGAACATGTCGATTGACATTACATTTGGATATTTGAAGATCATATTTGCAATTAGGAGGAAAGGGAGTTTCACTGTCGGGGTGTGCGAGATAAGAATCTGTTGGAGTAGAAGAGACGGTTACATTTAGCCGTTTCGACAGTGAAAGGGTGGGACCGAGATGCCAACCTAGTAGCACGCTTAAATTCATGCAGTTAGGTAACCAATGAAAGATGCTTGTCAGAGCAGTTGCCATGAAAATATTTGTAGAAAAGACAGAGGGAAGCCATATAACGTCTGTGAGAGAGTGACTGTAAACTAGATGCCAGATCAGGACCTTTCACATTGCATATCCGTCTCTGGATTTTGTCGAGGACCTCGAGATGAACAGCGGGGGCGTCAGGCCATATATGGCGATAGTATTCGATGCAAAGACGAAAGGTAGATTTGTAGATTTGAAGGATGGACTCAGAAAAGAGAAAAAAACCTTCTGGCGCGACACAGAAAACCAACTGTCCTTGCGGTAGATGTAGCTATTGATTCAATATAGTTATTCCACCTCAGGTCAATGGAAAGCGTGAGATTAAAAGGGACAGAAGGCGTTCTCGCAGAGTTGGGCATCAGCCATTCTGATCGAAGGAAGGGTGATTCTCTATGGTAAGCAAATGAGAGCAGATTCGTTTTGGAGGCATTAACCAAAGTTATAAAGTACATCACTGTACATAAATGGACATAATATATAATTGTCATTTTAGTTAAAAATGAATAAACTAAAGCAACACATCCAAGAACGTTGTATTTAATTGATACTTTATTCAGAACAAATGATGGAACACACGGACGAGCATAGCACTTATTTATCATACAACTTTTTACTTTTCCTTGGGTATATAAGTGATCGTATTATCTAATTATGCTTTTAAAGACCTAACGGAGGATTCATTTACATTTGTCATTTTCTCAATAGAGATTTAGAAGGATGGACTCAGAAAAGAGAAAAAACCTTCTGGCGCGACACAGAGAACCAACTTTCCTTGCGTTAGATGTAGCTATTGATTCAATATAGCAACATTGACATCTATAATATAGAATTTTCTTATTTTTCTTAATTATAAAGTAACATTTAAATATTATCAAAAAAGGGCTGTTTGAGCCTTTTTAATCCTATCTTTATCCTTATTTTAAATTTGGTATTCCTTTGAATTTTAGATTTTTTTTTGTTTTTAAGCATTTCACCCTAAGCAAATTGGGTGTGCTATTGGTACGCAAGGGGATACAGAGAGTGAAAGTAAAGGAAATGACTGGATATAGGTGGGGATTGAGGAAAGGATAAAAAAAGAAGAATGGAGAAAGGTGTCAATTTTCAAATCTTTTCATTTGTACCCCCTTCTTAAAATAATGTCCAGCATTCAGATGTATGATTGTTATTGCAATCTTTTGATAAAGTAATGCTCAAATATTTGACGATGCGATAAAGGAATTTCTGCGGATATTTTATTGTCGTAGAACTCGCCGTAAGCTTATTCAATCATTATGTGAAGAATTAAGATTCATCAGAAATTTCAAATAGGTAACTAGTAACTATTATCGCTTTTTATATATATATATATATATATAGATAAGAGTTTCCTTCCAAACTTTCTGATTACGGTAGTGTGGAAATTCAACATTGTCAGTATATCATTTTCTCTTCCAGTCATATCTTCTATCCATTTTAGTTGTTGGCGCCGTATTCAAGTGATGCGATATTTATTTTTATTTGGGAAATTATTCTGTGATACTGTAGTGTCAGTCTATAAGATTTGATGAAGGATTATCTTGTGTAAGACCTAAAGAATTCATTCGCTTGAAGCCATTTCAATAATTGATCTATGAAGACGGTTATCCTAAACTGATATTTCATCAATTTTTGAGCAAGTAGAGCGCCATGCATGACATCCATATTTAAAGGTTTATGTCTCGCAAGGCTATTTATGATACTGACGATAGACAATCGATTCACATACTTAGAATTTTCGTGTACTAATAAAATATAGAATATCCATGTTGCATATATAGAGAGATCTTTACATGAGTATAAAGTGATAATTTTCATTGTTCAATTCTTTTATTTATTTGTTTAATAAAGAGTGTTGTGCGATAGAGCATGAATCCGACATAGATAGTGTAAGTCTCCTTGATAATGTTGTTGTCATGAAACCAACATATATATTTACTTTTTGCCAGAGATACAAAGGACATTTAAATTGCTATACAAAGTTGGTCTTTTGCAATACATTAGTTGACGGTGAAGAGTTATTTTGGATGATTAAGTTGGTTGTTTTAATTTTACTATAGTATATAAATAGTTTTATTTTATTTATTTTTGTTAGATCAGTGGGGGATATATTAGAACTTGAAAAAGTTTTTTTAAGAATTTTTTCATCTTGTTTATAGTTAGAGTGTAGTTGATTGCAGTATAGTAGGTTGATATATGATTATTTGATGAAGTATTATGTTCTTTGTGCTTTATGGCTCGTCTAATTTGTTCATCAAAAATATAATTAGGAAAATCATTATTAATGAGAGTTTGTTTAATGTTTTTTAATTCATCGCATAACACATAAAGGAACATTCCTGTCCACACTCATGATTTACAGAAATATTAGTCGATAATACAAGTATACTCCAAGATGAAAATAAAAAGCAAAAACATCAAATTCTAGAGGCTCTCTATATAAGAAAAATTTAACAACTAAGACCATATATGAATATAGCAACAATGTTTTAAAATGTCTAAAATAGCAATGTTTTGAAAATACTTAAATTATAATTATAAAAAACAACAATTATATAAATTAAAATTATCTCCCTTAGGAAAAAGATAAAAAAGCATTACAACAGGTACATTTTAATTTAATTATAACAAAGTGCGCTCATACGTATTTAAAATAATTATAACAAAGCGGGTTTCATGTGCATTTACAAAATAATCACAACTATGCATTACGTTATTTTATTTTATTTTATTTTTTTGACTTAGGCTGAAGATGATCTTGAAAGTTTTGGGGGTAAATAAGAGAAATGAAAAAAACTATGGCACCTTCCTTACTGAATTTTATATCGACATTAAGTATTTGATTCGTGAATTCGGAAGATAAAGATAAAAGTAAACATATGTCCAGATTATACAACCAAACATGCTAGAATAAAGATATGTTGTCCAAATA